TATGGTTTGAGAGGTAGGTAGACAAACAGCCGAGGCGACCCAGGTTCACCGGCCTCTAGACCATAAAGGGTAGAAATGCACGAATGGTCGTTGAAAAGCATCTCAACTTTTTGTTTTACCTTTTATTTCGGCTCAATAAATTGTCAGAGTAAAGCTCTGCGCACAAGTTCCCGATCGAGCTGAAAAGAAGTGGGGGTGTGAACCACATAACTTCAGTTTTGGGGGCTGGCGGCGAACGATTTGGGATCCAAGGCCGCCATGGTAAACTTTGTAAGTATATTTGGACACATTTAACATACGCATGCCAAAGTTTGGAAATGGTGACACAAGTTTTTATTCCATAATTATCTGCCTGGAAAAATGAACCACAATATTTAAGACTGAAATTTTAACATCATAATCTTGTGATCGTGCCTGACTACTCTCACAGTTTTTGTGTTAAGATTGTCATACTTTCTTATAAACACTGTTTGATCCCAGTAATTGAAGATGTAAATGGTTGCCGAGCTTGTCAAAAGTTTGTTTACTTAGCGCCCACTCTAGCAGCCTGCCTTTTGTCATGGCTCAGTCATTTTAATTACTATTGTTTCAAGTAATCGATTCAAGCCGTATTCTCAGTAGAGGTCATCAACAAGGCATATCTATCCAGATAAGTCTTGATGGACACCTCGAGGTACCAAATTTGCTGTCCGTCCAACCCACTAAGTGTCACTCGTTTTGTGTTTGCGTTATCCTGGGAATCTCGAATTTCTTAATGCATCGTGCGATCGACTCACCTGACTATACGGTGGAGACCGTCCCTCATGATCACGCGAACTGAGGCACCTCACCGGCGCCCGTCGACCGTTTGATCGTCGGTCATTAATTTTGGTCACGTAGTCCTGAGATTGACCGAAAGTAATGTTTTACCAGTCTGTTGGACTGTGGGTGGCCAAAACTGGGGGGGGGGGGTCCGAAGACCTTGTACGAGCGGTTCTACGATTATCCCTCTTAGAAACCGCTTCCAGATAGTCTCCAGTTATCTTTTACACTGATCGGTGAAAATACAGATTAGTTCCGAAGACATTAATTGATTGTTTGAATAAAAAACAAACTGTTAACCTCATTTGGGAGGAATCCTTGTTTTAGCGTGTGTATAGAGAATAGCAACGTGAGTTCGTTATGCAGACCAACATGGCGTCAGAAGCTAGGAAGTGACATTGATGGAACTTTTAAGATAGGCCGTATTATAACTCGGTCAACTTTCAAAGCCTAGAACGGAATGTGGGATAAGTTTGCAATGAAAAACGTACAGTCTAGTACATGCAACAACATTGCTTGCCTCGGAGAAAGAGTTATCTGTAGCTCATGAAAAGTTAGTCAGGGAGCCTCTATGATAGTTAATAATAATCTCCATATTTTTGCAAGATATCGGGTACTGAGAACAATTGTCTTCGAAAGTAAAATACATTTAAAATTAGAATATACATATAAAATATTCGTGTAAACGTTGAAAGGGCGTTTAAGGGCATGATAACTCTGATGTCTATAAGTCACCCGACGGGTGTTGGTCGAGAACAGGGGTTTGTCGGCCGTTTGGCGTTACATGGTGGGTTGGTGTCCTTAGATCGCCATTACCCCTTTCGTTGCGGGTGTTTTTTAAAGACATTGAAATGACTTAGTGACACTCAATACACTAAGCTGAAAGGCAACCGGAATAATTTGATGGTTTGTATTGATTACGTGTGTCACAGTCGCCCTCGTTACGTGTTCTGACTTTCCGACTTCGTAGTATCACGGCATTGGAGATAGGTCCGACCTGTGCAACCCACGGACAATGTCAAATAAAAGGGTAGGTTGTCGTGAGAGATTCGTGTACCTTGATATTTGCGTTGAGCAGCCAGTCACTAATGAATTGGATCCCTAACCGAGAAGAATCGAAAGTATTGGCTGAGGTCAATCTTTTCCGTTTGTTGTCGACTGTACTATCGGGACTGACGTACTTCCAACGTTTATAGCTTAAAATTTATCATCCTATCGTTAACATTTATTCAGTTTTCATTTTCACCCTAAGGTAATTACATATTTTGCACACTTTTGTTTCTGTCTATCCCTACCTCAGTTACTTCAGTTATTGGTGTGGCATGTGGAGAGAAAGAGGGATGCACGAAATTCCAGCGTCAGCTTTTTTCTTCTACTCTTCTGCACATTGGGCGCTGCGGCCCGTTGCTGGAATCATCTGAGCGTAGTATTAGATCAAACAGCTGTAAGTTTCCTGAGCTACCAAGCACACATACACACACGTTTGTCTCCTATTGGGATACATAGGCTGTTTAATGTTGTGAATACTTTTTCCTTTCGCGTACACTGACTTTGATCTGCGCTTCATTCCGGTGCATCATTTACCACTAGAGTAAAAACGTCAGGTCACAACCAAATGTTCAATCAATGTTTCCATAAAAGACGTTTGCTTTGCAGGATAAATTGCAAGACTCACCCAAACCTATTATTATTAAACCAGTGACGGAATCTTTACCTGCCTACTGCATCGGCAGTGGTTCGACGTTGCGATCACTGCGACCGAGAAAAAAAGTTGTTCACGCTCCTCACTTGATTAGCTTGATAGAAATATTACCATCAAGAGTTGGATATTTTTTTGCCCTGTTTTTTTATCAAAATTTCCCCGGTGCTAGCCGCGGAGTAGCTCTACAGTTTATTGAGTGCTGGATCGGTGTCAACGGCTAATGAATGACTAGCTATGATTGGAAGGTTAAATACGTTCTCATGAATATGGGTATAACATTGGGGAATTGATCAACTGCCGTGAGCTGTCTACTTAGAGGAAAGACAACGTTGGGCTACACGGTGGTCTGTAAATTCATTGCTTTTAATACAACCCCGCCTTCCTTGTCACTCTTCTCCAGTCCGCTAACCTCAGTCTTGTCACTGTATCTCCTCTTCAGTGGTTTGTATTGGCAGGATTCCGGAACACAGTTTCTTCAGCAAAAGAAGGAAGCTACAAAATCACTTTCTGTTGGTCTGCATTGTCATTGCAGAGAATATGTCGCATAGAGAAATTAAAGAACAAACGTCAGGCATATGGTGGGAGAGTGGAACATTTAGCAAGTTTCACTGTCTGGATTCAGAGCTTACACTGCAAATGCGTTAATCTGCTGTGTACGGAGAGAGTGTTCTGACAGCCCGGTGTTTACTCAATGAGAGTCGAACTTAAATTTGGTTGGCAGTTACTTTAAGTGATGCGTTGAAAACTGAATTTTTTTGCTTGAAAGGAATTAAAGAAAGACAAGGAAAATGAGTTGCTCAATAGCGAGCTTTACAATAGAAGCAATCGGACAAGCTCGGATATAAATCTAAGCAACATAATGCTTCAAAAGAAACTGCAGATTACAGCAGGTATTCCCAACAGCTATGGTCTCATTTAAATGCCCAATCGACTGAATAATGGATATTGCCCTCATTGGCCACGTGGGCTTGCAATTCTCAAGGGATAACTAGACGTCCAATCTGGAATACGCCGACCTCAACTTTGTTCTGGGCAAAAACCTGGAGAATCTCGAATCATCGCTAACACAACTTCAGCACTACACCGCCAAACTTAGTCTCCAAATCAACGCTACTGAGCTATGCATGACCAATTCTTGAACCAATGCTCACCCTAAGAGACGGCTGTGGAAGCGGCATCTGGTAGTATACGCAAGTGTACGCAATGCCCGTGCCAAAATAGCATTTTAAAGGTTATATTCAGAGCCGAAGCCTGAGTCTGTCTTGCCTCGCTTTGTTTGACAATCTTTGTGGATATCCTCTGCGTTGTGGGAACATGCAAGAAAACTCAGATTCTTCGATGATGATGTTAAACAAGCTAAGTCGATTGATTCTCCAGTGAATTAGTCATCGTACATTGATGTTCGCTGCACATATTCAACAGCGTCGGGGAGAAATCGGATACACACTGACAATCCGATGAGGGACTTGTGAGGAGAATTCTAAACCCGGGCTCGAGTTGGGTTTGGCGTTGCTCCTGAGGGTAGCAACTGAAGAACTGGTTGTCTTCTTTCAGACCGCCGCCAATCTTGCGGCGTCCGACACCAAAACAATACTGATCAACATCCGTAGAGTTGGGCATGAGTGGTAACAATGACAAGAGTCATCTGCAATAAAACCTGAAAATCCTGGAACTACATGGATGTACGTGGTAAACCGTGTGGTTAATTGAACCCACTTTGGTCTGCCCAAATGAACATAACTGGAGAGTAAAAGTTACCTGGCAGAATTAGACATTAGAAAAAGGACAAAGCGATCAAAGGCTAGTTGTCAGTCAAGAACTCCCTGCGAACGTGCACGGAACCTCTGTGCACAAGTTGGCGGCTGTTAGCCAACATGAAGTCTTCGATGAGTAGTTCGGTATTTTTTTTAGCAAACAGTGTAGGTTAATGATGTGGTGCCATTCCCTCCCGTGCTTGAAGTGAATTTCGCCTAGAATTCCCCAGTAACCTAGACGAATTGGAGGTTGAACGTAGTTAAGCCATTCGAATGCTGCACTATTTAGTGACTACCAAAGGTCTAAATACGAATGTATGTTTGTGCCGTAATAATATAACGAACACAGAAGAAGCCACACCCGATGCATGGTTTTTGGGCCTGTCGAACCTATGGCTAAGCTGACAATCCGTTGCTATGCCGACCAGGCTGGTCATGTTTCACGCCAGGTGGGACACACTTGGAAACGCGTGATTCGCTTTCAATTATTCCCTTAGTTATCCACCTCCAGTCACATTGGAATGATGAAATTTCCCGTGAATTTGTTCACCTTGGATGGTCACCAAACGAGGTAGTCGTGTCACGTGAATGATAGAAACAGTAGACAGTCAAGCTGTTGAATGAGGTTTTTTCGATATTGTTTCATTTTCACCAAGGTTGCGGTAATTTTATCTTCCAGGACATTGCTTATCATTTTTGAAGCAGCTCCCTGATTATTTTGCTCTGTTGTCTGTCGCAATCAGACTTCCAGTGAACTCAGCAACAGTACTATTGCCGTGACAGCGAATCCGGCCTCCTTGCAATCGTCTGTCGTCACCGATTGGCAAGCCGATGCGATCAAGATCACAGATATCATCGACTTGTGTGGGCTCATCTTACTGCTTGTCTTGAGCACAAACTCAGAACGCATGATCCAGTACAAAAAGCTCATAAAAAAGATATCACCACTTCAACATACTTCTAAAGTGGTAGGTGGACGAACGCACTTATGTCGGAAAGCCAAAGAAATCGACGCCAAGCTGTCGTCCGAGCTTGATACCACATTGGGTAGCGAGAAGTGCGTTGCTGAGGTACAGCCCAATATATCTGAGCAACCTGGTGGACCAAAGGTATGTTTCGTCTCGCTTCTTACGACTTAGTCTATTGATCATTGTGTATCATTGTTGCGGCATACGTGCACCATTTCTTCTCTGTCCACTTACGTAAGCCATCACTGGTCAGCGAAATATTGGAATTTAAAGTGAGGGAACGATCCGTGCGAACAATTCATCCCAAAACAGTTAATTTGAGGGAGAAAAGTCTTTCGGACTGTCTCCTTTAACTGGGTTGTAGATATAGATGATGGAATCATTCAGATTTAGATTGCTTTTTCTTTTATGCGGCGCACTTTGATACATTAGTAAAATTTATTAACTCGACCGTAACCGGATACGACTAGACAGAAAACAATGAGATTAGCCAACAACTGTCCTCGATAGTGATCGAGTTCAGCCACTGAAGTGTGATTATTCATTAAACCAAGCTGTCTCCCCGCTATCGAATTTATCAGTAGTTAAGTGTGATTGTACTGTATGTTTTGACAGTTTTGAAAATTACACAAACAAAACACTGGATTAAAAATGCAAACGTGGTATGTTAATCCTCTAGTGGGGACAGCAGAACGAATGCAAAGTGGAAAGTTAACCAAAAATAATGCCACTTTGTAGGTAGTGTTTAGATCATGACCGTTGGTTTGTTTGCTAAGCTGGACAGTGAACAAACCAGCAGCCATCATTCCAACCTGAGCTAAGAATATTCTGTTTAGTTACGAGTGTTTACATGAAAACCCGCAAAGTGTGCATTGTACTCCTGGGGTAAGTCAAGCTGGTTCCGAACATGGAGGTTAGTAGTGTTGCGCTCGCCTTTTATCTAATCACGATCATGGATATACAGTTTGACAGGTTGAATCATAACACCAGTGTATCCTCTTAAAAGTATCCTTCTATCCACTCTCGGTAGTCCGGTTGGGTGGGTACTAACTCATTAGATTCATCCGGGTGTATTTTTGGAGGAAATTACCGTTCAAAATCACGACACCATTGTTCTCGTTATAGAACATGGTGATATTCAAGTACATTATCCAGTAAAGCACAACTTGTTAGGAGTGAGAGGAGCTGGTTGATTAAGGATTCACAAATAGATGGAGCGGTAAACACAGCCTTTGGACAGTTGTCTTCATTGGGTTAGTGCATTGCGCACGCCTATGACTCTCTCAAGATAGCTTAATAACATTGGAAGTTATGCTAACTAAATCCATAATTCCTGTTTTTGCCTAATTCACACCCGTTGCTTCCATTTTTCAGTTTCCATCACCCGAGGAATATGCTTCTTTCCTCTCTCGTACGCTATTTACCTGGTTTACGAGGTGAGTTCACCGCAGCTGACGATTCTGGCTATCCATAACTGCTCAGCTCTTCATTAAGCTGATGAATCGGTAATAATCAGGTCAAAGCAAGGACACATAACTAGAATAACGATTCTGACAATCCGTAGTAGTCAGACTGTCCTAATAGGTCAACAACTCCTTAAAGCCAGGTTTTACATCTGATCCAACTTTTCGAGCTGTTTAAACCGGTTGACAGTCACATATGGCAAATGTTTTGGAAGTGGTGGTCGAAGAGAATTGTTCAATCTTCTTACACCTATTCCATGATACCCAACGGAGACTAAAGGCTTCATAGGGCCAATGTTTTTGGGCATTGATCTCGAACTATCTAGTCCATGAACTTATCATACCTCCGACAGCCTTGTGATCACCTTGTTTTCAGGGATAACTTACGAAAATTTCATCCCAACAGCGATTTTGCAGTCGTATGGGAGGGAGGATTTCCAAAAGACGGAAAACCGAAGAAGAATAAAAAAGTCTACAATGGGATTATTGTCCTTGGACAGAAACTAAAGGAAAGAAAGCAAAGAAACCAAAGCGAACTAAGACAGGCCCATCTATTCGACAGACCCTCAATCTCGATATTAGCGTTCATATGTAGCACCCTTCCGGTGCCTAGCTGCCATGCCACCCGAAGGAAGCACGAGGGCAGGGATACTGCCAGGTTGCCCAAGCCTAGACAGAGGAAGTCGAGTGGCGGAGGTCGGTTTCGAACCACGGACCTTTCGGTCAGTAAATTCGCCCATCAACACAAACGTACTTACACACAAAAAATCGTTCAGCTTTCGGTGCCCAGCTGCACCAACGCTGGGATACTACCGGGCTGCCCAAATTCAGTCAGGAAGAGTCAAAAGCAGAGACCGAGTTGGAACCACGAGTTGGAACCTCGATATTAGCAACTGTAGAGAAAGCTCGTGTATGATAGCTGTCATTGTTGCCTATCGTGAACATTAAAGAAAGGTTGATCTTTTCTTTTGCAATCGATTAAAAAGTTGATTCTGTAACTACTACTACGACTAGAATTAAGCGCCTGCTTGAGCGTGACTCTTCATAGTTGGAATATCAATCCCGTCCATCAATCGTATCAGCAAATCATAATGGCTTAGCTGACACACCGTACTGATACGATCAAGTCACAATGGATTCTTTCCTACGAGACAGTGAACATTTTTCTAACAGCTCATACTAGCATCATGCTCAAAGTACGAAGTAGTAAAGGAAAGCGTCACAAATACCGTTTTTGTTGCCTTCTGAAGCCATTGGACCGTGCTGATGAAGAATTTCTGGTTACTTTGTTAGAATTTTAAAAGAATCCCTTTTCATTTTATAAATTGATGTGAAATTAAATTTTACTACGCAAATTGGTGACAAAAGTGACAAAGACTAACTACATTTACTTCGCTCTAACTAATAACGTATCCGCAATAGCACTTCCGATCCGTGCATTTGGGTCATTAATTCGTACTTCATCCTTGTGGGCTGTGACAATCGCTGATAAAGTCGTAATTAGGGATCTCCAATGCGTATGCTTTAGTATTATTCTCGGTACAAGTTGGTCCTTTTGTAGGACTTGGCCGAATTGACGTAATAGTTTCTAAACTGTTGCCGTGTGCAAAAAACGAATCGTTATGAAGTTGAAGCGTAAACTCCGGACCAAATCCTCATCATGTTTTTAAACAAGATGTCCATAGCTCGATTGGTGTAGCTGGCCATTAGTTGGTTTGCACTGTCAGAATATGACGCAACGGCAATCTGATGTACACTGATAGACCATTCAGATTAGCCACAACTTGCTTACTTCAGCTAACAGCCGCACACTATAGTATTCAGATAATCCAAAACTGTACTCAGGAGTGCTTGGGGAGCTCTTCCAAAGCTGCCCTAAAAATGTGCCGTCCGTCACCCATGCTCACTGTCTTTATGTTGGTTCAGCTCCGTCTAATAAACTAGTGGGGGAACTTCAAAACTTCGTTTCTTAAATCGCTGCTGGAAAGACACATGACGATCTGAAGCAGACGACATCCTCGTAATGTTGCAAAATGAAGACGAAATACTACTATTGAATAATCTGACTAACATAGTACCATCTTTTGACGTGTACTTTGCACCTACAAAGCGTGAAGTCGTGCATCACAACAAACAGTCTCTGAACATACCCTTTCCTATCCCAAGAAGGACCATTATGGAGTCTTGCGCACACTTTGGTAGTTTCATGGGCTCTGACGACAGTGTGTCGGAGGAAGTTAGTACCCGAATCTGGAAAATCCAAATCAAGTTGCGTTACATGTGGTGCCAAAAAGGTATATCAATGGGTATTAGGAGTTTTGTGTAACAGGCTGCAGTAGGTGCTGTATTGTCTGGTTGCGGGATTCGGTCGCTGCGAACCGATGGGCTCAGGCTTCTTTAGGTTTTCGCCCACCGATTTCCTTGAAGCTTCTTTAGGGGGGAATTGAGAAACGTGTAGCTGTGCAGCAGGTAATTCAGTTGCGAAAAGCATCAACTACCACCAGATTCGGTAGCCTTGGGTTGCGTTTCAAATGCGATTCAACGGGAATTCCTAGCTTGGGCTTATGCCCCATCGAAGATAAAGTTTCCGAAGGATGTAAAGTTATACATGCACTCTCAATAGTCCAACAAATCGTATCCTGAGGAATGGGGAATATTGGTGACATGCACTTCTGTGGTGGCTATTCGTTCAGGACAACCTAATTATTTTGTTAAGGAAACTACTCACAAGGTTGCTGAAAACTGTTCTTTGATGAAGAGTTCCCAGAATATTAAGTCCAGATTTTTATTTCCAAAGTGTAGGGCAGTGCTTGTCTGTCGTGCATCTTGAGTTTTGAATTTTCATGCAAGATAAAGCCTGGATTGTTGTGAGGAAGATAGATCAATCTATGGAGATGACTTGGAAGTACCAAAATGCATCCAGCGAATTTGGTGACTTAATACCAGCCCAGCTAAACGCCCGTAAATGTCTGCTTTCTGTTTGGGCACCAACTTTAAGCTGTTGAAGACTTAACCCAAAGTCGGAACAAAGTGCATGACATCCAAGCAGGATAAACTGCACCTCGCGGTTCTGAGGTCGGTCAATTGTTCTCTGGTTGATTTCTCTAAGAAGATAGATATATTACGTGGATCACGCTGGTGCTCAAAGAATCCAGAGCCGCGGAAAATATTTCCCATTTGTCAAAACTCAGTATCCAAGTTATTTCCCAATGAACGGGAATCAACCATCCACTTTAAATCCACTTTGCCTTCTAATCTGCATCTTCCGCATTTCAAAGTGAGAACTACGGAGAAGCTACAAAACATGCGCGGAATTTTGTCTTTAGTCTTTTCATACAAGGAGATTAGTCGAATGACCTGATCTGAATGGGTCTCAATTCTCACCAGATTCAAATATCACATTTAACTCATACTTCCTCTCTGTGAAAACTGGTCAGCGGGCATTTTTTACTAGACGAGACAGAATGGAAATATTAAACTAGTCACTCCAGTACCCTGGTCCCACAAGACGGAATCCATCCCTCTTACGATCTGCAGCTGGCAATAAAAGGTAACAGTAATTGATTTTGACGTACTCACCAAAATTTTGGTACCACACAACTTCATTAAGCCCCGCATTACTCAGGCTGGGAACGCACCCGAAACAAAGATAGAGCTTGCACTGTTGTCTCTTCAACTTCCACACATCACATTAGATGAAGTAGTAACAATGATGGCATAAGTCTTTTCCCAAGGTAAGCAGACCCTTTTTTTTCTCGCACATTTCGTCGTTCGTTTCTACCGTAGGTATGGTGCGACTTCCCCTTTACTTCGAAGCTGTTGCAACTGGCCCCTGGAGGTAAAGTCCTAAGGTATTCCTCAGTCGTCTGTCATCTTACGAGCCGTATATTTTAAGATACAGTGAGATGCTCCCCTTCTGTTTACTGGATAGTTGAATTCCCCGTCTCATAATACTTCGGTGGTCTGGGTTGACGTTCATTGTTGGTGAGCCAGAGCTGTTACTACCTGACTTGTGGTTTGGGAGGGAAACAACTGCAGACCTGAGAGGCTTGGAGAAAATCGATGCTTTCCTGATAATAGCATTTGATTGCAAATGCACTAAAAATAATCGATAAAACAAACGGATCAATGGCGGAATGGTCATATGAGATATATTTTTACGTCACATGCTTGTCAATATCAAAAGCCATTGTATATGATCGTGGGAACAACCAATCTGGGGTGTCAGTTCAAATTACTCGCTGATATGCCTTTTTAACCCCGGGACCTGTAACTTGGTGTTTGGCTGCTTAAGCTGAACGGAGCTTTGATGGTTCCATATGAACGGCTTGATAGACCAAAGTGGTACCGTAAAAAAACATCTGGGCACATATTGGGGTTTGGAACATTTCCCACCGTCAACACTAGGTATATGATAGCCCTATTTCTCAACTTCAGTGGATTCCACTTTCATCTTAGCTTATCACATCTTCGGAGCCTGCGATGTGCAGTATGGATACCGAAAGCTTTCGGTAACTATAATACTCATAATTCGGCAACGAAGTAATTATTGTAGAGATTTCGTCCTGTAAATGAAGCCAGTCTGTGCTGAAAAACCGAGTGCTTCTCGGCTTGTCTCCCTTTACAGGATGGAATCTGGACCAAAATTCCCAAATCTCCTCACACTACCAACGAAGTATTTATTATCATTATACACTACCACAACTAGACTTATGGATGCGGAAATTCGTATATACAACTGTCCAAACCTTGCAACTCGTCACAATCCAGCTACTTTTTCGTCACAAGGTGGTATCTCACTAACCAGTTGGCCCATTTAAAAATAAACCGTGAAACGTACTGACAAGTACTTGGTGGATCTTCTGTAAGTAAGGAGGGTCAAACAGAACGTATTCTACTGGTGGTTGATAAGGTGACAGTTGATCTGTTCGCCGAGCTTGGCAACTGGCTTGCACACGTTTCGTCCCCAGTCGAGGAGACTGATCAAATACCAGTAAACACACCCGAGCTACCTATATTTCGACAATTTGAGAATGTATTTCACTCTCGGGAAGAGCGATTTTTAGAGGTTTTCAGATGGAATGCGCTACTGAAAAGTCCCCAGTTGGGACGTCACTCTGAGGTAGCGTCAATTATCCGTCGTTACCTTTTTTCAAGTTCGGTATCTTCTCGCTAGAGGCTTTTTGGCACATTTCTGTGAATAGTGTTGTTATTAATCTACCGCTGACCGGCAATTCTTTCATTCTAGTTAACTCTACTCCCCTAAGTTTGTTACCATGTTTATGTTGAGCATTTCGGTGTTACTACAGACGTCTGACCAGAGGTCAATGGATCTGCATTTCAAAGCGGGTCCACTTGCAAGCCCTATGCTTTATGTCGTATTCAACGCTCTGGAACTTGTGTGCAGTTTGCGATGCTCCCATCTTCGTCGTAACTGTAGTAATCACCGTTTCAGATATCAAAATTCAAATATTCTGGCGAAGCTAACCACCTCTCGTCACGAGCACACGCGAGTCGTTTCCTGAGTTGATCGCACTCCCGATCAATCTTGCACTCAACATGCGACTACGACGCGACCCGTTCCCGGCCATTGTTTGTCCTGGCTTCGTGTTGTTACCCTGAGGATGCTGCATTTTTGGCCGCGCCTGTATTTAGAGAACCAAATAGCACGCACAGGTGTTACCGACATTTCAGTAAACAGCAAAAATAACTTCAGGAATGTGACATAATTCGGAGTAAACTTGGATTGTGTATTCATTTCATTGACGGACGGGAATATTTTCACCTCTTTTTCTCGTCCCGGATTTCGATCTTTGTCAGACAGAGATTGTAGACAGATGTTTTTCCTGTGACAGCTGTCCCATATTTGCGACTTCAGATACAGTCAAAGTCCACAGCGTGTAAAATCCAAAGCATGTGGTAATTTGCTTTTTTGCCATTGCGCCTAGTATCCATCGCTTTCTGTCTAGCCAGTCCGTTGAATCAATCGTAATCAGTCAAAGCAGAGAAACAGTCTCTTATGTCCCAAATAGGTGTTCGTTTTAAACCTTTCACTCACGTTACCTTATTTGGGACATAGTCACTAGCACTGGTTTGGAGTTTCTGTCTTGTCGCCACTAGTTTTCTTGCTATTAACCAATGCGACCACAGTTCCAGCCGTAGGAAAATGGGTGATTCTGTTTATCACCTTATTGATGGACATTTGTAATTGGAATATATGAGTCACATTGTCACCGATGTTGGATTTTTACGTGTTTTTCCCACACAGCCTGATTATTCGTGGTTATCGTAAACCTCTGGAACTGATCGATCTGTGGAAACTGGATGAAAAACACTGCGCACAACATGTGTCCGACAAATTCTTCCGAAACCTTGACGCACTCCTGATTCCTAAGAAGACAGTAAATTATTACATGTAAGTTCGTTGACAGGGGGCATGTACGTTTTCAATGCAACCTCACAAAAAAGACCCTTCCGAAGAGGGACCATCCCCATAGGATTCCATCACAACCATCAGACGCCAGGCCCCTTTTAGGGGTGGCTATCCAGAAAGCCGTCGGAAAGTTCATGATTTTCTTCTTGAGGAAGCGTTAATTGCGGAAACAAGAGACCATAAATTGACAATATACTTGAACGAATCCCGGATAATCTCACACTTTTTAAGGGCCATACCAACTTGAATGGGTTTATTCTTCTGGCGTAAAATTTGATGCTTTGTTGTCTTCCAATGTGTTCTAAAGTTGGCTAACGTTGCTGATTACTGGTATTGGAGTTGATAAGTGTCATGTTTCTGTTGATGCTGAACCTAAACATATAAGCCTAAAATTATTCTTTACTAACGCTGCTTTCTTGGTCGCCCAGTGCGGACACATTTTATTGTGTGATTGTAGCCTATAGTGGAACCTTCGAACATAACTACAGTGACTGGTTTGGGTGACAGTCGTGTTGGCTGTCTTGGCAGGTAACGACAAGCGTTACCATTTTAGCAACTTCCTCGTTGGATCCATAGGCTTCTGGCGGTTAAGATAAAACATGTGTTTCAAGCGACAACTGCGGTCGGGTATTAAATCGAAAGGAACAATATACACCACTGGATATCTGTGCGGTTCATATGAACTTTGAGTCCGCGTTGTTCATCGTCAACCCCAGCCACTTTGCCGCACTTCAGGCGGTTGTCCTGTCCCCACCAAACTACTCACTATCAGTATTATCATAGTTCATTTTTACATTTTACCTTGTCCCAATTGTTTCATTGGACTGTCGACGAGCCTCTGGGAAAAATTCACGTCCAATATTTCGCCTTACTCCTGGAGGCATTCTGGAAATGTCGAGGTAAATAAGTTGAGAATTTATTCAACATAACAAGCTAGCATTCAAAACGCAGTAGCTTTAAGTAATGGTACTCTTCTCTGTTATCCAAATGAACTAAACATTATCTCGTTGAGCTGCTAATTGAAAACCGAAATTGGTACCTTTCAAGCTAGCCAGATACCTAGGATTAATACGCTTGCTCCATATATATAGGCATGTCCAACCATCAGTAATGTGATTGGTATAGTTAGATACCGAGTGAGTTTCAAGACCTGCAGTCTTTTTACGCCAGTCCACGAGATCACCTGGAGCCTAACAAGTGAAGTTGATATTACACGATCATATTGGTCACTCCGCCAGCTCCATTTTGAGGTTGTTCTGAAGAAAGGTGATACAATGACCTGCTGATTGGCCGGTTCCACAGAGAAATCAGAAAAATGAATAGTTAAATCATCTCGTTCTCTCCTACAACAGCTTAGTTTGGTCGATTGATGTTTGCGGAAACCTGAGACAGACCAACATACATTTTCAGCCAATTACTTGCTCTTGAAGCTGTTTTTCGTACATTCCTTCTGCACGATGAACTAATGGAACTGCTCGATTGACGGCCAGAAGGTGAATTTTCACGGAGCAACCCGTTCCATACAGGTCTATACGTTTTCTGAGATGTCTCTGTAGAATCACTGTCAATTACGTGTTGCTAGAATGTCTCTTCGCAATGATCAGTACTTCATCGAACTGTTGTTGTACAGTGGTTCGTTTATTGAACAATCTACCACTAAGTAATAAATCCTTGACGGAAATGGGTTTAGCGAACCTCAGTTGACAAATACGCCTCCAAAATGTAATAAGGTGCCGTTCAGGAATGGACCATCAAAAGGAACTGATTTTTATTAATCAAGGTAGTCATGTGTAACCAGTGACCAATGACCCTTCCTATCGATCTGAGGAGCGTCAGAAAAGAAGTGAGCCCAAGACAGTTTTGATGCCGGTTGTAGATATAACTTGTATCTGATGGGCAGCATTCTCTGCTAGATTTGGCGAGTTTTACTTGGACAGATATTCGAGATATCTAGATATCGTCCTTGATACGATGTTACTCAAAGTTAGTGATGGTTATTCGGAAGGCTGCTGGCTCTGCTGAAACTTTGGGATCATCACGTAGATGAGGTCGACGAATTTCTTCAGTCCCATCTCGTGCTTGAACACTGAAAGAGGATTATATGAAGTGTGTGGCGGAGTTTCGATCAACCTTATAATTAGTATTCCAATGAGAAGAAAGATTTCGACACTTTGTATATCAAAGAAAGCGGGAGATGAAACGGCTTTTGCTCTGCAGAGTTGGTTAAAAAATACATAAAATGAGGATTCCAAATGAAGCTCATTCTGGTCTTACATAAATCACACTTTACAAATGACGGTTTAATCTTGCTTACCACGGTCAGTCAATCTATCTAATGGTTTTAGTTCCAACTGCTACAGTTTCGATCACCAGAAATTTAAAGAGGGCGGGGATACGGTCAAGCCTTGAAGTCGATGGCATGCTCGGTCATTTCGACAACTGGGTGGCTACGCGTTGATGATATCTTTGATGCACGAGCGCCATAGTCTGCGCGATTGGGCCATTTCTGCCGGTGTCATTAACTAAGCACTAAGCACTAAGTCCCTCCCCCATCCACCTTTATTCTTTTCTTTACAATAAGGATTTAAAATTAGTTATGGTTGTACGGCAGTGAAGCATCGGTGTCGAACACTGATGTCATGCTGTCGATGATGATGATGATGAGTTGGCAGTTGTCGACTCGACTCAGTTTACTGATTAGTGTTTTCATACTTCGTTGGTAGATCATACACTGTTCACCTCTAAGTCGCTTCCAGTCAGCGCAGGGCTGGGCGAAATAAGCTTTGCAAGACAGAAGACGATTTTCTGGCATGCGTAGTATGTGTCCTAATCAGCGTAACTTACGAAGCGTGAGTAATTCCCCTATCACGGGAGAGTTCCTTATTTCTAGGGCCATCCTGTGTACCTTAGCATTACCAATACAATGTTCCCATCAGACGCGATCAATCCTTTGGATACATCGATGGTCAACTAGTGACAACTTTCCTATATCCTCTGCGAGTGCAGGTCAAATATCTGGTCTATGGAGCAGTATGGACCACACCGCCGCAGTATAAACTCTGCTCCCGGACAGACAAACTGATGTCACGTTGGTGCCGTAGGTGTCTGAGGTTGGTATGGATTTTCTGGGAAGTAATATCAATTCCAGCCAGTCCACCGGGACTTATAAAGCTGCCCAGGTAAACAGATTTAGCTACCACCTCGACTGGCTCGTCTGCAAACTGGGTGTTTTGTAGTATCTTGGAGGATTTTTTGTCTTTGATGATTCGCGGAATAGTTATCTGTCCTTTGAATTGTACCGAACTATCAGACGACTACAAAACACGATATGACTCATGCTTATGAAAACAGACAACGGATCTTTTATTTTGACCGGGAGTACATTTCAAAAATTGTGTGGTGTTTTCCGACACAGGAAGACTTTGACTGAACACAAGTACGAAATTAATACCAATCGAAAAAGAGGTTGCTATTACCTGTCTATAGAGCCATAGCAGAGACACAATGCAAACAACTGGAGCTAATCGCAACTCAATTAGCCTGATTCTCAGCATACAAAAATTAGTTCACCACAAGGGGGCTCGGTGGTTGATAAAGGTACCTGATCTTCTTCGGATGCTTTCGACTCTGTAGTGTCCTGAAGACTCCTCTGAACCATTTTGTACCTTTTTTGGCTAGTTCTGGAGACATGATTTTCATTGATGTCAACCAATTATTTACCAGTTGTCTACTATGTGAGACAGTGGCTTACTTGTATGACTTCATCATCAGCCAAAAGATCCAATTAGGTTTTCGGCTTAACCGTTAAAATTTGTCCTCTTATCATCTACAGAAAATATCCGCTTTGTCTTTTAAGATACAGCCTATGGGAAACTAGACGCAGTCGCTATTGGAAGTTCGTTAGGCGCAACTCTCAGCAATATTTTCCCGTCTAAGCTAGACAGGAAGACGCTTTGGTTTTGCTTCCGTAGAACACGAGTTTACTTTCCGAACTTCTCGCCAACACTTTTGTGTCAGACGAACGCGAATCCAATCACAATTTAGCTACCCTAGATTTTTTAATAATCAGACTTCCTGAAAGGGCTATTAAGTATTCAATTTTCCGCAAGACCACATGGAGTGATCAAAATCTTCAATTCAGCAACTTTGTACTAACTGTCCACAAGTTACTTTTGGTACGAACCACCTTCCACAGAGCTAGATTTTGGCTACTAAAAGCGGACTTTCTGAAGCAGACTACCATAAAAAGCCATCGTCGCGTACAGTATAGCTCCACCATCGGACGAACCGGATTGTATCGCACACATAAGTTTTCATGTGTCTGCCATTCGAAGATACCCATATTGCAGCAAACATCTATCATTAGGTCAGGTCGTCAACTTATCTGACTCACTTGTTACACTTCACCTGTAATTACGCTGACACCTACTTTGGTAGAACGAACTAACGCTGTCATGAAGAGTCGCTAAGCACCTTCTAAAACGTTTTAAGAACTAGCCTGCCATGACCACACACAGTACGGTCGATCACACGTACCTCGGGTTCATTGACCGCTTGACATCTGGCTATGGCAAGCCACCCATGTGACACTTATGGCTCGGTCTCGGCCTTTTTGTGCAATTTAAACCCAAGATTTCTGACGTCCGGTGGAAGCCTACTAGTCAGCATTAGATAGCTACCTTGTGTGCGTGTAAAATTCTGGAACCGGTATTAAATCTCGCCACCATTGCACAATGTTTTTTTCACACCGCTTGTGGCCTGTCACATATGTATCCATGCCAATATATATGTCACACTTCATGTATTTGGAAGTTTTCAACGTTGATATAGGCCAACGAAATGTTGTCATCTTGCGAGTTCTCTCTTCTGGCTGTCCTGATTTATCCCAGTACGCTCATGCAATACAGTAAGCCGTATGCAAATCGATGCTTCCTGCTGTTTGTTATCATCAGAATGTGCTGTCCGATTGTCCTAAACAAAAACGTGACTCATCACATCGCCCAGTAATGGTGAGACCTGCAGTTAAATCACATCATCTTATGGATTCCTGCTTATTTACAGCTTCAGCATCTTTTCACACACTCCTTTCGCTCAGATGGAAGGACTTCTTTCAGGACTTCGGGAAACTGTTTACTAATAGGCAAGTGATATCACTGTAAGGCAGGTCCAGTTGCGACCCTTAGTTTCCGCAATAAAAGAGCATGGTACTACTCATGACGTCATCACTGGTCGCTGAATAGTTCATAGGACTCAACTTTTTTCCCGGAAGCGCTTCATCATATCTACCATTGAGAAAATTTGGCGAAAATCAGCACGCTCAGAAAGTGACACACTAATGAGACTTTGGGTTGCTTTTATGCGGTTTATAGAACCATCACCCGTATTTACTGTTTGCCATTTTATTATCAGGCAAGCCTAGTGACTGTAATCCTTTGAAGTCTGGGGGCGAATCGAGGACAAATTGTCCAACCAGTGAATGGCTTGGACCTTGACCCTATGATTTTATTCATGTTACTGTGTAAATAAGTAAAAGGTGCCGAGGACTCGATTGATCACGTTTTTACCCACCGAGGTAAGCTTAAACCCAAAATTCATGAAAACGCACAATTTTTGCACACTTTGCAATATTTTGTAACGAACCAAAAATTCTTTCTCTCTGTTTCAATTTACAGGGAAAGGCGTAGGATATCTTCACTGAACGGGTATACAGAAAATGTCAACTGTTCTTCCAGTCGGCTGAATACATTGGACGACAGACGCCAATCAACACAGAGCGCTGCTCTTCCACTTCATCTAACAACCGCCGTGCAAGTGACGGGGCAGCTTTACAAGGGAGTTTTCGGTCGAAGCAACGCCTGTCCTCGACCTTTGCCAAGAGTATACCAGACATGATGGGTGGCGTGCCCATCTCACGACCTAATAAATCAGGTCAGCTCTCCCCACAATTAGAAGAGGAAGGCTCGGGGTCCCTGGGTAATCGTGAATCTGTGTCCACCCCCGATGGCATTGCTAACCAGTTTCGTGCGTATGATTCACGACAGAATGGAGCGGTGCCAGTTAACCAGGAACCCGATACAGTGGTCCCGGGCGTTTGCGTTGTAGGTGAGTTTGGAAATATTTTTGTCATCTTCAGGCTTGTGCGCGGATTTGAAATCAAAACTGGATATGAGAAGATGCGAGGCTTTGACTATGCCAGTTGAACAGTTAGCGTGAGGCTGAATTCTTGCTACGAAATGACAGATGCTACCTAGATCATGTGATTTGACAGAGTTTGTGCGACTACGGCGTGAATTGTACAGCCAGATTACTACAAATACCGTAGAAGACAATCCAAGACAAGGACAATGTCGTGACGCGCGCTTTTTGGTTCAGTTAAACGGTTCGATTGAAGCGAAGAGGCGATGGTGGTGCCTTTCATACCAGTTTATGAGTGGATGTAATACAGTTTTTCCCCATCGAGACAAGTGTCTTTTTTCAGTTCGCTCCGTCTTTCTAATTTTAGCCTCCGTTTCGCCAACCACGTGCTACTGTCTCGGCAGCAGACAACGCACCGTGGTGAAGAATGGGCATATCTAGACAATATTGTCTCTCACGAAACCACTCGGTAGATATTTTCACCGGGGTTGCGGTGCAACATAAAACAACGCTTTATGTAGCAATCATCACTGCTTAGGATGTAAGCTTGCAGACCGTTTTGTTTAAGATGGTCCTAAAAATAGTGTTAACCTAGTTGTTTTCTCAAGAGGATTGCGAGGAATAAGGGGTTGCTCAAACACCCATTCATCCTAGTTTTTCCGGGTAAGACGTTCCTGATAGCGTAGCAACACGTTTCGTCGCGTATGTTGGCTACACTGTTTGTCTCGGATCCGTTTCAGTCTTAATTTTACTAAAACAAAGGAGGTGAAGAAGCGTGTGCGAAGGTTCTCACGGGATTGTTATATTACTATCACAGTTGACGACAGGGATTATGAAAACAGTGGTTCCTGGGCACTGAGACTAATGGCATTCAATCGTAGAGTCGATACTCAGAAAGAGTATCAATTCGCTTCTCGAGAACAGTAAGTGGAAGAAGAAGGGGCACATTACGGCTTACATATTCTACGGGAGAACTTCCGGCGATTGATTTTGCTGAACTCGTGGGCCAGCTTTTGATGGTGGTCTTCATCGCTTTCGTCGTTGGCTCTAGAGATGATTGTTATGTGCAAAACACTTCGGTAAAGATAGTTCTGCCCATTTAGGATTTGGTGAACGAGTATTAAATAATCGAATTCGCCCATTCAATTCCTCGAGTATCTGTAACCTTGTGAAGGGAAGACTTCTAATTCATCTTACCAGGTTCGCCTTTCTTTGGGGTAGCTGGAACGTTACTTGATAGACTTTCCAGGGTCGACCAACCTAGAGAGCGTGCTGTGTGACCAGAAACTGACTGGCTCAAATTTAACTGCTTGACCATACCCAAGATGGCGGTTTCCCGTGGCAGAAGCCGTTACGCACTGAAGTGAACAACCCGGGTTCCTCTCTACAGGAACGTCAGTGTCGTGCTATTCAGAAATAGTAAAAAGCCGATTTCCTAATGGGTAAACACAAATCCTATGATGTGGCGACAGCTATGAGCGGCGCTACAACGCGTCTCTCTGCTGATCAGGCACTCACAATCAAATGGTTTATTCCTCAACTACCAACCGATATTTCGAAGGTTCCAACCACCATGGGGATTTGTGAGATGCACATTGTTGATGATGATTCATGACGAGCAAACAGCCGCACAGTGCTTCTGTGCTTTTTGGCATAGATGTCTTCCATTGCAGGAGGGAGAAGTTATTCTCTGTTAACCAGGTTTATGCAGCATGAATATCTATATGAATGCTACCGTACTTTAGATTTTCAAGTCTTTCATAAGCACTAGCGATTTTGGGATGAAGCACTGAAACTACTCGAGGACTAAGGACCAAATATCGAGGTTGTTCTCAATCTTAATGGAGTCCGCCAAAGCCTTGTCTTTTAGGTTCTTTCACAGAGAAACGATGCGCCAATCTGGAACCCACGAATCTTCGATACAACAATGTGAGAGTTCAGACGCTTTTGAGGAACACTTGTTCTGTATTCCAGCGTTTCAAAAACTCCTTCACCCTTGGCCTCGTTCTGGTGCCTAGCTGCCATGCCAATGGAAGGAGGCACGAGAGCTGAGATACTTCCAGGTTGCCCAAGCCTAGACAGGAGCAGTCAAGATGCTGAGGTTGGGTTGGAACCACGGACCTTCCGGTTCGTAAATTGGCGCATTAACCACTGGGCTATTTTGCGCTTAGCCTCTGGCTGTCCTCAATTTGAATGAGAAACTGTTGTTTTCTGGAGCTAGCGTCGTTTGTTTTTAAGACGATCTATACTTCTTCCAGCCATTATGGTCATCATGATTTTTGGTTACAGTTGTTCCTGTATACCATGTTGCTTTACTTGTGCAGTGCAGTTCCGTTTTTAAGCTCACAAACTGTTCACCGAAATGCGATGGTTTCAGCTGCTACAGCTTTGTTCACTAAATGTAAGAAGAACAAAGGGACGAACGACACGATAGCCCAATGTAAGTAACCTAATTACTCTGTTTTGCACCAAAACAATTGAATTTTTCACTAGGCTGAGGTGAAAATTCATTGCGTAATTTGCTTTGGATCTAGCGTTGAAAACATCTCACGGAACAAAAACGAATCAGCATGAATGTCGCGGATTAGCGCCACCAAATTTGTCAGGCCTCTGAGATTTGGACAGTTCTATTCTGAATTGCATTCTGCAAGGCAGTTACAATCAGTTTTGAAGTACTGAACGTAGCTGTCTCGGCCGTTTGTCATGTACTGGCTTTGTCCTTGCCGACGGATTTCGGACGTGAAATCATGAAACGTCTCCTGCTTACAAAAGGAAAAGCTTGCTTCTTTTTATATCCAAGATTAGGCATACAATATCAATACCGTATTGTGTACGTTCTCATTTTGCCTAAATGGTGGTATCCGGCTGTATTCCAAGCACCCGGAGGTAGGAGGTGAAGGCACAGCTCCTGAAGAAGAGCCGTTTGTCATGGATTAGGTGTTTCAGTGTGCTTAGTTTGTCATCGTTACTAACCATAATTCTATAGGTCGTGATAAACAAACGTGAGATTTCTGTTGCGACAAACATAAGCGACAAATTAATGCTTCAATTCCCATTGGCAGAGCTTGCCGGTATCCAGATGGATGAACATCTAAGAGGGTATTGTATCGGAATACTTCTGTAGGAGAACCATCCCATTATGAAATTTAGATTCATCCTTTCGGTTTAGATAAACCCAGGTGAGGTAGTGCCAATTTATTTTTGTTAAAAACCCTCGGATCATATTTTTGCATACTACTGAAATCGTTAACCTTAAGTTTTAAATGAAATTTGACACATGAACAATTTGTTTTACGTTTAAAGCCCGGCAGTTCATATTGTCTTCACTAGTATGGTGAATTGTAAACGCTTGTTAATTTATTAGAATCTTTCTATTTGTGTAACTCCATTGACTGCAGAAAATGTGAGCAGTTGATTTGAAAAACACCTAAGGATGCATTTAAACAGAGTCAACACGATTGAGATAAACTGCAGTTTCGTTACGGTAGTGAGTCTCACTATTTTCACATGACGCTGTCCTCATAGGCATAATTTTGGATCTAATATCATACCTATTATGTAACGTAGACCAGTATCAAACTTGCTGTTAGATTACTTTGTTACGCATGTATCACCTGTGAGCTTAAAAGCACTTTAGCAATATATGCTTCTTCACTACATTTATCCCAGGCCCTCAAAGGCACGCTTCCACACGCCGTTCAGTCCGTATCCGCGTGGGAACGAAACCTGCATTCGTTCCCGGGCAATCGGAAAGTCGCAGTGATTCAGTGGTAACACAAACTGCCGAAGATATGGTACGTTCTCTCGAACTTTCCAGCTCGCCGTTCATATATGTGAGTGCCTCTGTGCATGTGGAGAAGCCAAGGACTCTTGAGGGAAAACCAGCAGACACTTATGACCAACCACAACTTCAAGCCGGACGTTGCACATGCCAAACAATGGCAAACCGCCTAAGCATGCGATAGGCGCTACTAGTGAAAGGTAGAAGGCCTTCGATGCCGAGTTATTTATTAGAAAATGCTAACTGACCGGTTACATACCATTGGACAGGGAAGCAGAACTCTCATTTGCATCTTATTTACAAAAACTGGACATCCATCTCCTGAACACGTCTTCTTAAACTTTCTTGGATATTCATTGACTCCAATCATTCGTTGTTCAAATCCAAGCAGATGTTACAAAGCGACTCCAAAAATTCCGCAACAGATCTCCCCTTTTCAAGAGACGCAAAGCGAAATTCCAAGAACAACACATACTACTCGCATGCCTCCTCATCAGTAGCCTCACCGTTACACTAGTAGATGCCATGTATCGCTTCGGGCTTAGAGGATATCTTGTGGGGATCGACTGTTCTAAGTACTGATCTTCATTAGTAGTTTCGATAACTCACCGTTACACTAGTAGATGCCATGTATCGCTTCGGGCTTAGAGGATATCTTGTGGGGATCGACTGTTCTAAGTACTGATCTTCATTAGTAGTTTCGATAAGGAGGGTAGCACCGGTTTCGAAATAAGTTAGCGATATCTGATACAATCCATAGTGGGTTGTGCGGTGACTGAGCTTATCAGGTGTATTGTGAATGATGGTTATGCGTGTTGTTGGGATGATTTAACACTGATGAACACTGATGCACAAGAGTTCACGCATTAAGATATGACCACTGTTCAGGCGTGAACCGGGAGACCAGATCGTTAATTTTTTTCAAAATCTCTGGACTGTTTGGTGACGAAAATTATCACTCGCTTGTTTCAGTTGGTTCCTTGTTTCACCTATTGTCCTCCGTTTAGGAGCACTTTGAAGTTAGACATTTACTGCTTGGCACAATGAAGCACCGGTCGCTTGTTTACCATTATTTGACATAGTGTAATTCTGATTCTCAAGTGGATGGGTGCATATTGTGCCCACGGCAAGGGAAAGAGTCCTCGACTAAAATCTTTGGTGAGAAGACATCGAATTCCACTGTTTTTTAAAAAAAATAAAGAATCCACAGTTTCAGCGACTGTTACTGCCCAGGTTACAGCTATTTTTACCATCTCCCTGGCACGAAGACTCGCTAGATACGCCTTTGGCCATCACGTGTGGATTCTACGCTTTGTGTTGCATTAAATTGTGTTGCATTAAATACAAGTGTACTTAAGGTCATCGCTCCGGGTCCAAATGTAGGCGTGTCCCTTTGTTTATACTTACCTGAAAATTCAACAACTGCAATAACTCCTATCCAATCATGTATTCTTGTGTGGTCTGAAAACTATGGTAAGTACAACATTTGGCTGATCGCAGATCTACCACATATCATGCGGCAGGGTCGAAGTTTCGAGGAAACTTGATTATCGTGAGACGCCGTTACTAGTTGCATGCCACTGTGGTGTATTCGAACATTATTGATGTATGTACCGTCCGGAGAATATTTCCCCAACTTATCAAGGAGAACTGCAGGTGAACTACCTCAATATTGCAAATTTTACTTTCACAGTACTGCGTCATAATTCTGAAACCTTTGGACAGCGCGCAATTATTTAAGGTCATGGTGGCCGGGGTGCCAACAAGCTCAAAAGTAAATGTGTACGTGCAGCTAAGAGGTTTTTGAACCAATATATATCCCCTTTTTTGATGTCATCACACATTACGAAATACTTCTGCCTAGTCAACATAAAAGCCTGCAGACTACAAAGTTATTTCACGAGCCCTCATCCGGACATTTGCTGGTAGTCTCAGATGACCAAAGCTGTGTTTGTGCATTCAGGCAATATAGAGAAAGCTCAAAAAAATTAAAACTTTTGAACGAGCATCAAAATTCCTGTCTACAACCAACATGCACCAGGCAAACCAACTTCACTCATTTCATAACGAAGTGTTTAATATGGGTCTCAGTTACAGCTCAGCATTAGTTGATTTTTCATTCTGCTTCAAAAGCTCGATGAACACAGGATCCTTCGTTCTCAAGTTTGTTGACCAATGAAAGTTGAGTAAAGGCATTGTCTTCAGCCGTCTTCGAAATCACCACCCAACACAGATAGTCCAGTAACAAACAAGTGATTCACTGTACACGCCTGGAAGCTACACGTATATTTAACCTTCAGCTCGGAAATATCCGCTCAAAGGAGGACGTGAATCAAACTCTTAATCCAAAAAAATCCCGGTAGAAACAAACTATCGTCAGGACCAACTGTCATTCGTGGTTAAAAGTATGACAAAAACTACGGTAGGGAAATAAATTTCATGAAGCCTTTTTTGATGACCTATCCTTTTGAGATTCTTGACTTATGAACAGCGATTTTTGAGGTGACCAGTGTCTTGCTAACTCCACTTCCGTGATTGTTTTCCAACGTTCCTTTGCACACTCACGATATCAGTGTGTGAAAGTGGGCTGCAACAAAAAGCCTCGCAACTTCGTAAACTAATCTCTAGGATGCGGACACCTCATAGATGGAGAAAGATGACTCAATTGAAAGGGAGATTGATTTTTAGTTTACCTTTTATTTTTTTTCTAAGGGGGTATGATTGACAGTAAGCATTCCTCCGATTCGATTACATAAATATAAAGACAACGCATGGATTGCGCTGAAACGTTCTCTGTTAGATGTTTCCGCACAACTGGGATTCATTTGTTCGCTGTGATTCCGTTGCTCGCACGATGCATTGCACAACGTTTTCCACCATTGACTGCGTCACTACGAGGCCAGTTAACGGGCTTACCTGCGTTGAGTTTTTGTTTGGAAGATATGTTACCTTCAATTTTCCTATGCTATTCGCGACGGTCGCGAGCTCTCGAAGGCTGACGAAGGCTAACGAAGGCTGACTGTTACGAGTCATTATATCCCTCAATGTGTCCCAATTAGAGTGAGACGAACAAGAAATTGTCAGCGCAAACCGCTCTCTCTCTGTTGGTAACTTAGTAACTTAAGAATGTGACGAACTTGTTCGGAATGTGGGGAGCTGTGCAGCTGGGAAATCCGGAGGAATCAATATTATCGGCTTGGTGTATTTCTCCCTCCAAAAGGTACTTTGCTTATCTAGCATCAGCAGTTCTATTTGAGTTCATGTGTTTTGCTAACCTGTTTGATGTACAGGCAATATTTTGATAGTTGGGTTCTTTTGTAACGGATTTCCCCTCTATTTCTGCATCAGGCACTAGTCACAATGATACTGAGTATTTGTCCTTTTGTCTACGCATTTCTTTTGAACATTATACGTCTGCTTATTGTTGGATCAAGCTCCCTGTCTAACCGTTGTTTTCATAGGTTCACATTTGCTTGCTGTATAGTTAGTATTAATCTCAACCGTGGCTGCGGTTTTAACACTTACCAATAAAGCTTGTCCTCCCTTGTACATAAATTTGCCTTAGCTCATTTCTGTTACTTTACTAGCGAATTTATATCCTCCCGTCCCTTTTCATTCCAGACCGTAGACAATCAACCCATAGACTGCAACCTGTCACGATCGTCTTTGGGGTCTTTGAATCTCGGCAAGAGCAAGAAAGAGAATACTACTTCGGGCTCACAAACCAGAGCCAAGAAAAGCCGAGATCTGTCTTCCACCTTTCAAGCCAACAAGCGTTCATCGGAGGTCACTCCGACCAAAGCAGAACATCATCATAAGTGTTTCTGCCTTTGCCGCTTCTTTCGTTGTTGCACTAGTTCTGGTTGGAGTCTGATGAATTCAATAATGCTAACCTACTGGAAACCCCTACTTTGGACTGGTTTCATGAAGCTACTCCATGATACTCTATTGTTTGTCAATCCCCTTCTGTTGAAGTAAGTAAATCGTGGTTCCATCACTCAGCACGTACTTAAAATTATTGGTCCTCTGTAAAAAGAAGCGGACTACTCAACAAAGGTATTCGGACGATTGTTTATTGCAGTCTTAGCGACAGAGTGATTTCACCGAATGTGTGCATCCTATGTATTTTAGGAAAATATTTTCAGATGATCGGTAAAGGTGACGTTAAGCCATAGGATGCTGAAGCCACAAAACAGCATCGGTGCTGACATCTGATCCTTACTTATTAGTTTTCTTCTATGGATTTAGATATACCAATAGCGGCCGACCGATGGTTCTTCTCCAGGTACGACCTAAAACGTTGCAGCTACCGGAGGATGTTCTGCTGTTTTCGAATATAATAAAAGTTCCAAATGCCTCCTGATATATTTCCGCTATGTCGTCGTTTTTTCCAGATTTCTGTTGAACTTTATGCAGCGTAAAGAAGCAGAACCTGTCTGGCATGGGTATTGTTATGCATCCGGCATGTTCGTAGTTGCGGCTGTACAAACTTTGGTGCTACAGAACTACTTTCGTGAAGTAAATATTCTCGGAATGCACTTGCGTACTGCTCTGACATGTGCGGTCTATCGTAAGGTAAGCATCTAATGTAGCGCACTAGACCTATTTCTTGCCACTTTAACATTTGAAAAATTCTTCTGTAACATATCATCTCATCAGGTTGAAACACGCGATTATTATGCAGTCTAGCACATACAACTGTCCTCGAAATGTTTTAACGTCAGCAAGGCTCGGCCCTTACTGTATATTAGATCATTCTACGGATTATGAAGCCCCTCAGTCTGTGCTTAGGTAGTCTCTACTTGGCTGTCATGTGCATCGCACAAGTGGTCCGGATCGTTCAGATAGTCATCGTTTGTTTGTCGGTATTGTCCCGTCAAATTAAAACAGAAATCGGCATGGTAAGCTTAATGAAGCTACCTCACCGGTGATTTTCGCTAAAAAGATGGTGATTTTTATGCCTAGCCGTCGATTCCATGATTAACGTAGCTATCCACTTGTGCTGTTTAGCTTACCATACGGATTACAGTAGCGCAGGCGGGTGGCTAAATCCGACGTGCATACGACTCGAACCTATCCAGGAGCATCAGGGGAGATCTCTAATGAAGATATACTCAATGACGTTTGGTCGAACAGATTATCTCTTGAAAATAAAAAATTCCATATGAACACTGGGACGTGATCAGTCTTATCGCAGTATTCAACAGTATGCAAATTAGGTACAGGTCAACTCCGACCAGGCAAAAATTTCAGAGCTGTTTTTAAGCATCGAACGCAAAAGCGAGAGATTGCACTGTGGGACGGGCCCTGGAGATAGTCCAGTTGATTATTCCTATAGAAAACACACATTTAAGATTGATTAGTATTGAAATGTAAATGGTCAATAATTTATCGAATACACTGAAGTCTCAGAAGAGCGCGTATATGCCAAATTTATCCGGTTTATTCGCCACAGAGTTGAATCTGCTGTGCGACTTCAAAGCCTTGAGTTATTTGTGAATACTAAGAGAGATCTGTATATAGCTGTGAAAATTCGAATGTCGAAAAATGGGGTTAAAGCTGCAATCTAAACGTGCATTCGTGCATTCAAAATGAGGACCGAAGTTTTTTGTCATCGGTGGGAAATCCGCTACTCTGCAGAACACTCATGCAGAAAAATCGACGCTTCACAAGAATGGATACATTGACACTTTACTTAAGGCCAAATGGAATGCCCTAATCAAGTTAGCGCCATTGATTCAGCTGCCAACGATAGCAGATGGCAAGGTCCGTTGGTCATTACCGTTCACCGGGACGGTCGGGGATCGGAAAGAGCGGATGGAACTCAGCTTCGGAAATGGCATGATGTGCCAAAAGAGATGCTGAATAGACCAGTTGCTGGGGTCGACCCAACGGATGTAAATGAAAATCGGTGGCATGCAAGTGACCTTTGAAGGGGGATGGTGTGTAACGCCAGATACTACTTATTAGACATGCGAGTAGTATGTGGTCTTTTTGTAACTCCGCCTTGATCCAATGAAAGGTGGGATTCATTACGTAATTTGTGGAACTGCTTTGCGGCATTTGTTTACAATTGCGTGGTAGTCAATTAATATATGGGAAAGTTCAAGAAGACGCGTTCAAAAAGGAGACGGATATTCGTTTTTTTTTTAAAAACAAGGTGCATATCAGTTTCACTTTCCTGTCCCATAGTCTGTAGCTGTTTAGTTGGTGTTTTCTTCCCTTCTTTCATCCTACTAGCAAGGAATTGTTGGTATTGTGCCATGTCGAAAAGTGGTTTGAAGAATTCCAACGTAGTGCATATTCTGCTGGCATGTTTTTTCAAAACAGGACCAACCAGGGGAACTCTTTCCTCACGTATACAACCAATCGCTAAGTTTGAATCTCCTTCACTGAAGTGCACCCGTCCACCTTTGAGGTTACCTGGAAAGTGATATCGTGTCTCAAGCTTTCTTACCTACTGATGAGATCTCGTCATATGCGTTGGTCCACAGAAGCCCAGGGTGAATAGGCATTTCCAAACAGCCAGTCTTGGCGCTAGACGTCTCAGAGTGGTTGGTATGCAAGTGCAAGGTTTCGCACACAAATTACGTTCGTCGCACCAGCTCTCAGAGCCCGTTAGTGTTGCCGGATAACAGTGTACTGCTATGGCGATAGGCAAACCGCTGTGTCGATCGATCGATGGGCTCGCATCTGCAAGTTGGACAAGTTGGTGATACAAGGGCCATTCTATGGTGAATGGTTTGCAGTCAGACTTTGGCAAATCAGTCAATCGTTTTCACGCTGTTTCAATGGTCCATCCTGTAGAGCCTAATTCGGGAGGGCGTAAGAACGACGCTGCTTCACGTAATGCTCAAGCTACGCAGTCGATTGAGATGAAGTTTGGAGTGCATGTTCAAGACTACATTTCATACGAATCCAAAGCAACACAGACAGGCAGAAGAGTGTTGTAAATGTTTAGTAGAAACACCATGTCTCCAGGACTAGTTCAGGAGTTCCATTGTCAATACAACGTTTAGCTAAAGTACATCACAGACAGTGTGGTGTGTCTGGAGGTCCGTAACTTAAAAGTCCATAATGCTTGATGTGACGAGGTTGAGGAAGGCATTCAGGTGATGGTCAAATATGCCTGTGCATGTCTTTTGACGGTCTCAGTCGATTGCGCTGGATTCTCGCCTCTCCCATTTACGCGCTCGCGGTCTGTCGAAAATTAGTCCGGATCAATTTTACACGTTTTAACGGGCACGGCTAGACGCGATTGGAATTGGTGATTTGATCTGTAAATGATGGGTCCATTCAATTAATAACTACGAAACCACTATAATTGCAGTGTGAATATCGTTTAATCTGTGTCAGCACATCCAGGGAGCCAGTCTCATGGCCCTAAGAATAAAAGAAAATCACCAATCCAAGCGAAAGTGTATGGAGGTATTCTAGCAACCAGAAGAGTAATCAAATTGAAGCACCTCAATGTCGATTTTAACATCGTTTTTACGAGGAAGAATTCATTTTTTTCAACTGTTTTTCCCTCTCTGACATCATTGGTCTACATCACCAGTGTGACTAGAGTCCAACGTGCATATTCAGACAAGGAACTGTACCAGTATACAAAAAATCTACTGGTTAAGTCATGACTGGAAAGTGTGATCAGCGTCAAGTTATGTGACCCAATGTATTATACCGCTCAATAGGTTTGCCTTCTTAGTGCTCGATCGCCTTTTCCCCTGACATATTTCCATAGATCAACATGTGCTAGGTTACAACTTCCGAATAAGCAAAGTTACGCATTGGTATAAGTTCTTAAAAGATCAAAGTCTGAGTCTACTGTATCTCTTTTGGTGGAGCCGAATTTAACTGCTTAGTGATACATGGAAGGTTGTTGGAAGATTTATAGCCATACGGTTATTTACTAATGCATTTAATGAACATTAATCGTTTAGATTCACTTCTCTTTAATTTATTTTGGAACAAACATTGGTGGTGCCATTCAGGTCAAGTGTAAAGCTTGGCCACAAAACATCTCACTCCGCTTTTGTTTTTTCTCTCTCAGAGCCTTCGTCTAAGCAACAGGGCTCGCCAGGAGTCCACTACTGGCCAGATTATGAATATCATTTCATCGGACGTGCAGCAGTTTGTTCAACTTATGCCTTATCTGCACATCGCTTGGTCTGGTCCGTTTCAAATCGCGGTCGCTATCATATTTCTGTGGCACGAACTGGGACTGGCTGTACTCGCCGGCATTGGCGTTCTACTGCTACTTCTGCCAATGAATGCATTGATGGCCCGTCTCTCCAAAAAGGTTCAGGTATGCAATTCCCGTCCGCTAAATCCCTGCACATTACTGCAAGGAAAACCTCCGAACTGAATTTGTCAACCATTGCTGAATGCTCAGTGTCGTGTCTCCCCAACACAAGGCTCTCCAATGAAGTTGAAAAATGCATGTACCTTTAGATACGGTTGTAATTTCTTGACCAATCAGGTTGCGGTATACGTGTAGAAAGTTTAGTTGGAATTGGATTTTCCGTACAACAAACAAGGTTTGTCTTTCAGTCCCGGTAAATCCACTTGCTATCAGTTAGGAAAACAACGCAGTACATCCGAAGCGTGGCAAGTAAACTGCTGTAGCCATTTGTAATGGTTTTAAGTGGGTATCACCATCATCTGACGTCGCCTGAAACTGCAGCTTACGCCGTAACGCGGTTTTTCAGACAATGCCAAGCGTCCAAAATTTTATTTATTAACTGTTCTATCAATCCTCTTAAGGTTATATCTGCTCTTACACGGTCTAACATTGATCCTTGTATGCTGTTGCGTCTAGAGCTCCTGCTTTTAGTTTGACGTCTGACAAAGTCTCGGTAGTGCTTACGGTTCTGAGAAACAACACGTCATTTTCGTTGCACCTTTCTCAGGAGAAAAAGTACAAAGTGGCCGATTCGCGTATCAAGACGATTACCGAAGTACTAAATGGAATAAGAGTGAGTTTTTTCTTGTGTTATTTGATGTTTGCGTGAATAAAATGCGCACGTGTAATGTGCCGACTGATGTAAGCAACCCGGTCATAATAAAGGAGGCCATTCTGATTTTCCCGGTATACTTTGCTCTGGAGAAACATACCAACTATTTTAGTAATTTATTGTTTGCATCCCGTGACATCCTAAAGAATGGCTACTGTGCTCGTTCACTATATAGTATTCCCAGTTGGTGAGAAACTGCTACATTTTGCGACACTAGTGCCTCAGCGGGTTTGAGATCTGTGTTGTCCGAACCCGGATCAACAGCTTTCGAGATGTCAATAACCACCACACTGAATTTAGACATAGTTGCTGAATAACGACGAAGTAAGGCGTTAACAAATCGGTAGCTATCAAATGACCGCCTCGATTTAGAAACCCAAACTGGAGTGAAGACAGTTGAACTCAACAGTTCTGTCGATCAGCAGGCACTTTATGGATGCATGGAATCAGAAAAGATGATATCGAAAGTGGTTTCAGTTGGTCTGGTGAACTTTGATTAGGGATCTTCGGAACTACAGTAATCCAGGCACGACAGGTATTCAGTGGACAACTCAGGGGTAATGAAAGCATTTTGAAATATCCAGCGAAGGCATTGGCATTGAACGGGTAAAGCACTTTGAACGTGAGCTTGTCAAAACCCAGAGACATGTTACCCATCAAAGGGATCGCACGATGAACTTCCTCTTCTGTAATCGACATGGTCATATTCCAGTTTCATAATGACAGTGCGTAACTTGACCAGCTATCCACAAGTTTTGGAGCAGAGAGCCACAGTATCCAGCAGGGTTTTGCATCAGAAGGTAGTCCGCAGTTTTCTCCATAGTTTCTTGCACGAACCTCGGAACACAACAGACTCTGCATCTTTCTATATCTGGTTGTCTAAGCTCCGGATGGCGACGTAGTTTGGCTCTGTTTAACCAATGGTTTGGCCCAGGCCATTTTTTGGCGGTGTGCTTGCTAGCTAGATATGCGTGACCTGGTTTTGATATTGATAACCGATCCAGCAGAGAACCATTTTTCCAGGCTCACGAAAAGCGTGGTTTGCGTACCGAAAGACGGATATAACTTGTCAGCCATGCCTAATGGAGGCTGCGACTCTTGTTGGGACCAACGGGCACCGAAAGTCTTCACTCGGCCAAGCTTATCTGCTCCATACTGAGTGGTGTGCGCGTGTCGATGATGTAAGCCCATGCGAATAACCGTTGAAAACCGGAGGGAACAATCAGCGCAGGCTAATTGTTTCGCTGCTTTTTTTGCCAACACTCGTGGACGTGAATTCGACGGTAGGGTACTAAACCGGTTTTTGATTTGTAGCGCTTATCGCAGGCCTCAACTGTAGGTCGCACGAATATGCCATGTGTACTGGTTGGAACTGGTGCTGAAAAGTCAGCTGGATGTTCACTGTCTGGAGGTAAACTCTTAGCTCACCCAGACTAACATTCCAGGCGGCATCAATAGGGGGTGGTTCAGTGTTTCGCTTAACTAAAACACTGCATATTTGTGTAGACGAAATACACTACTCACAAGAGTGCTGGAAACTCTTCGACACCCCATGAGCGGTTTCGACCTTCCTTAGAGCTCATCAGATAGGCGCAATCCTCGGGTCTCCCTCAGCCTTATGTTCTACTTGAACCGAAATTCCACAGAGTTAGCAAAACGCACTGCCGTCAAAACCAAATTGGTGTGCAGATGACTGCATATTTGTGTTTCAGATACGGCTGAAATGGCGTGGACAGTTCAAGCAACCTGACGTCGAGTTGCTTTTATTGGTGTGCGATGACTGCATATTTGTGTTTCAGATACGGCTGAAATGGCGTGGACAGTTCAAGCAACCTGACGTCGAGTTGCTTTTCGAAACAAGTCATTTCGTTTGAGGCATGACAGGCTACTTCGTTTTTTGGAACAAGTGGTAGCACACTAGTTTTTTGTTTGCCGTTTTTGGTTGACACTGCTGGGACTCGGGAAAAAGAACCGGAGAAAACAGAAAATCTTGCACAGCTCATTCGATTAGTCCGTCAGAAGTCTGACCACGTCTGGACTCCGTGGCTTGTCTTTATCTAGTTCGGCATAGACCCCCGGTGGTTTTCGCCCGCTTTGAGATAGTCTGTCAGGTGAGGATAGGTCACAAACGCTTATGCAACTGAATGCTCCAAACGGACGTATTCACACAAGGTTGAGTTGTGCATTGGGCGAACAGCTTGTTGTGCGGCTTTTTGAGCAATACTAACTTGCTTTGCAGTAACACCGTCCGGCCACACAATCCTTCTACTTACGTTCTTATTTTTAATGGACACAGGCTATACATGTGGGTCATATTATCTGATCTCACTCATTCTCGTTAGCTACACAAGATACCTACTTACAGTCCATTCCCAGGAATTAACCGCTTTGTAACTGAATGAACAGCCGAGGCCAGCGCCAAAACCCCCGTTTTCAGTGACAAAGTATTTAGCTTCCCGCATCATAGATGAGCTGATGTTAGTTTTTTACCTTCGTTATTTTTACCTAAAACATCACAACCGAGAGATTCAGCTGGGTTCCAGGTGGGTCTCTCACAAAACCAAATTTGGTTGCAAATGATTGTATTTCGCCAACTATGCTTTATTGTTCCTGTGTGTCCCTGCCTATACTCAAACTCATTCTTCCCATCCTTGAACCAGTTACCGAACCTAAACATAAATTTCCGGTACACCCTCATACTCGCTTTTTTCTCTAGATGGATAAGAATGTGGTTGATTATGCATGGAACTCATCCTTCAATACGAATCCGGGAAGAAACAGATAAATGCCAACACATAAGGCACGTCATAATTTAGAGGGAATAATAGCCCCTATCTTTCGTTCTTGCTCACAGCTATAAAGTTGTATTAGAGTAGGGATCTTTTCGAGTCAATAAAATACACACAGAAGGCAGTTACTTCATGAAACGTCCTTTTATGCTAGAAATTGGAGACTAGCTAGCTAAACAATACATCAGATACAAAGATTTTTCAGCAAGGCTTCCTTGGGGTTTAATCTGAAGGTGCCGGATTTTTTTCGTTCACGGCGGTCTCTCGGAAATGTATCCAGAGGTTGTAGATGGCTGTGGAATTAGTAGAATTGTCATTTTCAGCATTCTCGTTTGATTAGCTCTCTTTCTATCGTGGCGCATTTATTCTGTTGAGCATACGTCACAGGAAGACTGTTGGGTCAGCTCGTAAGCAAGGGACCTCCGGCTTGCTCTGGTGGAGTAGTGGTAACACGCTCGTCTCGCATGTCAACCCCCCGGAGTTCAACTCCCGCCACGGACAAAGATATGCACTACTAATCAGCTCTAATATAAGTGGAACCCGAGTCCAGTGTTCCCTCTTTTGGTGTGGACTCACTAGAATTACCTTGAGAGGACATGAGGAGGAGTGTCTTATCCTCATCTTCCGGCATCATGTTAACTTTTTTTCTCTTCCACGACTGTCTAAAAATCTGATTTTTTTCTGAGTCTGCACAGTTAGGATAGCGATGGACAAACACAATGTCACGTTCATAAATTTACTATAACTACAAGTGACAGTGTGCTTCGGATCCTGATACAAGGGTGTGAATCTGCATGGGAAATATATATTGGCCAATCGCTGCTCCATCGAACCGATCAGAATTTGATTTGACGTATCCCTTCTATTTGCATTTCACTTATCTAGTAAAAGTAACCATACCATTAGGGCGTTGACACTAATGTCTGTCAAACGGAAGCAGTCGTGAAATTTGTGCGCAATTCATAAGGATTGATATGACCACAAAGTCCTAGGAAGCTGGTTCTGTATCGTACGCTGCGTGTGCATTTCAGGACCAGGGTCAGAGTTGACCACGACTTCATATAGCGTCCTTTATATTTAGCTATTGGCCGAATGCAGGAATTCGAAGTCAGCTTCTTACTGCTAAAATGTATGTATTCTGAAGTGAACTGAATTCCCTGAAACGAAGTTTTCAAGTGTTTAGAAACAGTGAACCGAAATAACAAAGTTTGAAACATTATCGCCACCGCAGAGAGTTTCATGCACACCCCAGGCTAAGTATATGGTTTTATGGGACCACTTTCAGTGTCAATAGCCTTCGACACAAGGCAGCCTACAATTAGATTACGTGTCAATGCGCACAGCGCACACACACATTCTGTTCTTCGTGACAATTTTTTATCTCACCACTTGCTAGGACAATCTATTTTGCAATTCAATCGGCAAAACATATCCAAAAAATAATTGTGAGAAATTCATCCATTTGCAAACCGAGATGGCAACAATAGGATGCTCTGAATACTCTGCCACATGTGCTGTTCTTGAACTGGGAGAGCAACTGAAGTGTGACTTTTTCTGAAGGCTTAGTTAATTCCATAGTCGAAGTGTTTCATCTTCATAAGTGATAGGGCAATCGTGATTCAAAGCTCGTCAATAGCTTGCTGCTAGCTTTTTTGAGCTTAGTTTCCGAGGTTCCGCTTAATGAACACGCTGTAAGCAAGTTTGGTCCGCCACCTTTTCGAAAACTAAGCAGGGGCCTACGTGGGACTCAGCTGATTCGGTCTTCTACACTGCTTTTCAATCAGATGTGGAGTTTTTAATGAATACTGGTATATTTAATAAACCCACATATCAGTAATTGGGACGAAAACTGCAACATCGAGTTATCATGCGTTTGTTTATTAGGACCAAGTTTCATTACCCGCAAGGTACGTCACAAATGTGACAAGTCCCATCTTTAAGGTGCCGTGAGCAAATCTTGGGTTTATTTATTATCCAAACATGATTAATTCAAGGAACCAATGTGGCGAGATATTGGTTGCCACATCAGCCGGCACTTGACAGCTAGCAATTGTTTATTGTTATACACATCTCCTCCTTTCCTCCCTCAGGTGATCAAATTATATGCGTGGGAGCCTTCTTTCGCCGACGAAGTTAGTCGATTACGAGGGGAAGAAATGCGATATCTTCGAAAGTTTACCTATGTGCAATCAATATCTTTCTTGTGGAATTGTGTTCCATTTCTCGTAAGCAACTTTTCATCGATGCGTGTGCGCGGTTTTATTCTGAAACTCCTAATGATGTTCACTTCTTGCCACTCGGTGATCTAACAAAGAGCTCTGATTGTTTTGCGTTTTATCGAGGAGAAAGTTAGCTAAATTTTCAAGATCGATTACAGTGATTCAGCCCCCAGGGGTTTTCAGTCGGAAATCTTGGTTCTGCAAAATTTGTATTCTCGAAGGAGGCATATCTTCTTCTGAGTAAACAAATTCGCACTAATTCCACTCATCTTGTTATACACATCTCCTCCTCTCCTCCCTTAGGTGATCAAATTATATGCGTGGGAGCCTTCTTTCGCCGACGAAGTTAGTCGATTACGAGGGGAAGAAATGCGATATCTTCGAAAGTTTACCTATGTGCAATCAATATCTTTCTTGTGGAATTGTGTTCCATTTCTCGTAAGCAACTTTTCATCGATGCGTGTGCGCGGTTTTATTCTGAAACTCCTAATGATGTTCACTTCTTGCCACTCGGTGGGTGTGGGCTGTCCATCACCTAGGAGAATCCAGAACGAACGCTTTGTGACAGTCTTCCATGAAATCATTGAACCAATGTGGGATGACGGAAACGTCCTGCGTTTCCAATTCGCAGGACCGATTTGACGAACGCTGACATAATAGAGCCACAAAACCGTGCGGGGATGTTCTAAAAACACCCTGAGTATAATGCATCTCTGCGTAAAACTGTGCACTTCATCTTGCACTGATTTAACGGTACCGGCAGAAAAGCTACGATTGAGAAAAAGCAACCACTTATGCTAGTACATGTCAACAACATGGGATAGGTGTTACAGCAGTGACTGCACACGACTGTTGTATACTTGCGTGCAGTTAAAATCCGTCTGATGTGTCTATTGGAGCGTACTGACATCCCGATTGCCTCCTGTCCATCATTAGTTCGGGTCCATAGTAATTTCCATAGATTTTTGTCAATGGTATCCACCAGCCCTTGCTGTTTCCCGAATGATGAAACTGATATTCTTAGCACTTGGTTCTTCTGCTATCTTGAGTTGGAATGTCATGCATACCGTGGTACTGTGCTGAAGCAGCGATCTAAATTTACCGCGGTTTATTTTCCGATTTCAGAAATTCTCATAAGGTAGTTTCTACCTTACTGTGTTGTTGGTTTTTCAACAGGTGAAGGAATATCTATACTTGTCAAACTGTGCAGTTCACACAAAGTCTTCACTGTTTGCAGTTATTTGGACGCGACTTACAGTAATGCCTGCTGACCTTCACTGACCTTATTGTATGTGAATGTCAGCTGTGTGCTTGCGTCTGTATTCAATGCTTTGTTCTCTTGCGCGCCCGAACTTGGTTAACAGGTTGATTTTCCTTTGAACTGAAGATTTCCACCTGTGGGTTGTGCGCTCCAAATAAGAGGCGTTGCATACATGAGGAATGCGTGTTAATTCATTTTGACTTCGTTCCCTGAGCCACGCTCATATCAGCTCACATGTGTTAGTACGGTGTTCCGTTCACTTGCTTATCATAACTTGGTCTTGGTCTGCTGTCCACCGCAGTGTCTGTTTGCCATCTTTGGGCTCAAGATACATGCCGTGTTTCACCATACATTCCAACCTGAGCTGCTCACTTTATTCTAACCACTTTGGTGTCGTGGACGTGCATTTAAAATCCTGACCGACGAATTATCGAACACACTTACGTGTGTTCACAGCGCATAGCCTCTGAGTTCTCAAGAAGGTGGAAGCTACGTTTGTTTCTTGGTCACGCTGAATGCTGCGTTGACTACCGCCGGAATCGCTGACGTCATGTTCTGTGGATTACTTTAGATTGTTTTTCCTTGGGAATGCAGTGAGTTTTCTGACAACCCTAGATGGGATGATAGAAGCTGTTGCCAGACCACGCCGGACTCCAGACAGTATGGCAATCAGCGGTAGCAAACGAATGTTTGCAACAAAGTTAGATCAGGTGTTGTACGATTTTCTTCTACGAAGAATGGCAGAGAAATCTGGTGGATTTGAAGGCCCAGCAGATGGAGAAAGCTTTCGCTGCAGGAAACACCCCCTTGTTTCCACTGATTCGATCAGCTGGTCAAAGAAGTCAGGTGTCAGAAGAACAATGTGCATAAAAAACGAAACGGCAATTTATTCCCTCAACCGTCGTCTTGAACGGTCGATCGAGCACTTCAAAGAACAGTTCAGCTGGTCACCTTCGACACAACCCTTTCCCTCGTTTCCAATGATTCGATCAACCGGTCAAAAGAAGTCAGGTGTCAGTAGAACAATGTGTGTAAAAAATGGAACTGCAATTTATTCCCTCAACCGTCGTCTTGAACGGTCGATCGAGTACTTCAAAGAACAGTTCAGCTGGTCACCTTCGACACAACTCTTAGAAGAACCAAGCTTGCCTGGATGGACGATTGAGAGCAACCCGCCATCAGCACCCGATATCCAGCTTGAGATATCAATCCTAGTCCAAATGATCTGCACCGGCGGCTCGTCAAAGAAGATGGCGAGGTCCTGGTAAACGGTCGAATGACCGTACTGCAGGTTTGGAACGAAAACAGAATATTAGCCGACCGTATTCCCAGTTTTTTAAAAAAATACGAACGTCGTGTGAAAACCTTCGTGGTATCAGCCTGGTATCCGTAGCATCTAATATTCTCTCTGGCATTATTTTGCGTAGGTTGATAAGTTATCGGGAGAGACAGATTCGTGGGAATCAAGCTGGGTTTCGCTCTGGTCGGGATGCATCGAGCATATATTTATCTTGAGCCAAATTCGTTAACAGCGCCACTCTTTCAGACTTCTCACGTTGGTCGTTCTTCTTGATGGATTGATTTGATTACGTCCAACATTTCTACCAACGTTCACTATTTGTACAGTTTTTTGGTGTTACCTCGAGCCAGAAAAGAGCGGACAGGAAAGAGAGAATGTGTTCCATCTATTCTCAGCACGTATTGATATTCACAGAAAGTGAACAGTGGTCTATGATATCATAAGGATTTACGAGGTTCACCTAATAGTGTATTTATCGATCGTAGCCCTGAACACATGCCATTTTCATTTGTCTTTTTCGACAAAATCAATCTAACATTCGTGTACAGAAAACAATGTTTGTCAGTCTAACCTACGCATTTGTTCCTCGTATCCCTTTTCTATTTCAGGTTGGCTTGTCCAGTTTCGGCGTGTACATATTCCTCGCAGAAGGTGGTGTACTGGACGCTCAAAAAGCCTTCGTTTCAACCAGCCTGTTCAATATCCTTCGGTTTCCACTTTTCATGTTCCCAATGGTAACCAGTAACCTGGTTCAAGTGAGTATTGCACTCCTAGGTTGTCCGTCTGGGAACGAGTGCTATAGATATGCGTAACGTGTTACCCATCAGTACTAGTGGGACTTATCGAGTGTGTATCCATGTTTCTGCAGTTTCACTGATCCTGCCGTTTCAGAGTAACAGCGGCAAGAATGAAGTGCTAATTAAGTGGGAATGATATGGATACAAATGGATGACCGTCAGATGAACCACTGTTTTTGGGATCTCACCAGAGCTATGAGCGGCGAGTATTAAATAGTGGGCAGATGGATCACTGTTAGTGGGGACAAATTTGTTATGCACGGTTCAATCATTCACGCTGTAGCCTCCCTTCTGACGTGGCATCTTGAATGACTCGATACGGCCCTGATTTGATTTGGCTAACAAAAGCACATAGGGATATTTTTCAAATTACAATAAACTCAGAGGACTCAGGGAATCTTTCAGACTGACCGCATCCGTAGTGTCTACCGGTTAGATAACAGAGTTGGGAATTGTTTTCGCTTCCACTTTTGAAACCTGCATTTATCTCTCAAGCAACCTTCACCCTGAACATGCAATCTCAGTGACAGATAGTTTAATTATGCATAGTACTGTCATATGAAAATGAATTTTAATTCGAAAGATAATTTGGGGGGCACGGGATTTTTTCCCGTTGCATTTCCTATTCGAGAAAACAAAAGTCTCAGGACCAACGAGGGTACACTGTCATATTACATATTTTCGATTCACTCTGCAATGCAAGGCACTGTCCTGGAAATGTCTTGCTATTGACCCAGATGTACCATGGCGCATCACTCTCAAGAAGAGTTTTTTTTCATTATCACAACTGATACGTGAACACGCTACCATCGCCAGTTGGCTAGACTTGTCTTCACTTCGTCGAAAGTCTAGCATTGGATAGGTGCGCAGCACCATTCATTAGAATATCTCGCAGTTGAAATACCGATCGAGGGTAATTCAACCGGAGACAAGATGAAGCAAGGAGCGACAGCTCACTATTTTTTAAATACCTCAGTAGTTTCTAATGTGTATTTTTACGTGCTTGCCGCCGCCGTTATATAAACGTTAATCTTCATGTGAACTTATGGCATTCGGTGGTTCTTATTCAGGTATAGCCGACCGAGAAAAACACTGAGTCCCACTAACTTGGATGGAGGGGATTGACGACAGTTATACAAGATCACTATGTAATGCTGGTTAGTATGTGTGGAGCACGTATTTGCAAGGATAGTAAATATCTGAGACAGTCACTCTAGGAAACGTGCAAAGACATCCTACCTCTTCGCAATGGAGATTGTTGACTACCACCGGGATAAGGGTAGAATTTCATTGTCTCAGCGCACGAAACATGTGAAGCGATTGTTACTACTGACATTCAACGAGGGAACTTGTGTCAGGGAAACGCTCTGAATTCCAACAAATTTATTTTCTCTAGAGGTGAGATGTAATGACAACGAGTCTCAACCACCCTTTACTCGAAACTGTTGTCCGCATGTAATCATACACAGTTCAATAAATTTCTCTCAGGATTATGTTATTTCGACGGCTTACCCTGGCGTGAGGCCGAAATTCTACATAATTGATCGCAAGAAAGTTTGCCTCTATACTGTGTAGTAACAACTAAACCTCAAGAGCGCTCAGAAGGGATTATAGACAGAAAACTTGGCACCCACTGTGGATTGGACGACAACAGTTCGTAGATCACTGGACATCTGCGCACATTGACAGCACAATTAATTGTGCGGAACCGGATGTGCTGCGCGTGGAAACACTAGTCCAATGTGAACTTGTATGAATAACGTCATCAGACAAACTCGCAGAGGCATTTTTGGGTCGACTGTAGGCCTAAAAATGATTAGGTTACAAGACACCACTTATCGATGAGTTACGGCCTAATCCGTCATTTCGTCCGGGACTATTGTACCAGCGCTCACATAGCAGCTCCCGAGCAACACCAATTATCGATGGGTTACGGCCTCATCCGTCATTTCGTCCGGGACTATACTATAGTACCAGCGCTCACATAGCAGCTCCCGAGCACACCGTGGACGCATTTCACTGGCTATGCTGTTTGTGACAGAGCTGTGTGACGCAGGTACCGACTAAAAAGTGCCAAACTTACGTCAGTCCGGCTGTTTACGTTTAGTAAGTAGACCGATGTACGTACGCTAATGACCAAAAAGGTCGACCCTACTAAAGCATCTGGGTCCTGCAGACGTTCACGTAATGTTGGCTGCACTGAGCCCCTTTACTCGATTTGTAGCACTGAGATTTACCGTGTCTCAGGAATTCTCACTGTCATGTAGCTAACCAAACTTTTGGCCGCTTTGTCGCTTTGTGTCTGTATGTATGTAATGCAAGTAGGGATATCTCACTAGCGGGGCTTTTGAGAGTTTCTGAGTTTTTCACTTAACTCTGGTTAAACCGTTCATTTTTTTAACCTGTGGACTAAACCAATGAATCTGCATGAATATGCGGCACGTCAGCCATCATGAAACAGTGTTCATGGCACTAAACTGCTGTTGTTATTCTCCGTTGAACGTTCTGTTTGCTGATTAGTTTGAGTTGACCAATTTAATATCGGTTACTTACACAGCTCGACTTTATTTGCGAATAGACGTTCAATAGAACAAGTTTCCAGCTGCGGATATTTACTCCATTGTGACGTAGGACTAACAGCAATTGTTTTTAGTTACAAATATGAGGATTTTTTTAATCACGGGAAGCGCACTGAATGCTAGATAAAACCCATCGTCGAGTAGTAGCGGCCAGAAGCGGTAGAGGAAAACTAGGTCGGATAGGGATGCTGAGTCTAGTGTAAGTCCGATACCGATGAAAAATTATTGCTCATTTTTGGACATTTTGGTCACACTGGTGCACAATTTGCGCAAGTTATTTTTTGTGCAGGTCCTTTAATAAGGATCGGTACACAGTGTGAGGACTTCTTTCCAACACGATCCCGTTTACATGGGAGTCACTGCGTAGAATGTGCGTGCGTCCATGCATCGCCTTCTTGACTAGTCGGCACGCACGTTCAACCCTGAATGCCGCAAGTAATTAACGTGCATGAATCTAAAAAGGAGAGGGCTGCCTTCATTGGATAATTCGTATGTTAAAGGTTCTGCTTTCTGTAAGTCTAAGAAGCTCACCGAATGGAATGAGTCCCCAAGCCACCTGAAGTTAGTTGAATTTAGTTGGTCTGTCAGTCCTGCCCCTCATAGTTTACGATCGACCCGAATAATTACAAACGAATTGGTGGTTGCAGCACATTTTGCAACGAATATGTTTGTCGCTTCACTGAAAAACAACTTTTCCACGATCGAATATTACCTGCTTTATTCCCATGTCTATTCGGTTTGCTTTGACCGTTTTAGTACGTTACTCACGCTCTTACTTGTCGGTGTTCGACCCTCACTAAACTGGTAGACAGTATCACAGAACTATATCTGCTTATCCTGTTTGACTTGGCTCTAAGACCTCTGTACTTACCTTATGAAAAAAATTTACCCTACGGTTGCAGTTATAAGGATCATAGCAAGAATTTAAGGTGAATACCTGATAGCAGTCAGTGTACAGGGGTGTTCATTGCAGTGTGCTTTATTACTGTTATACTAAATGCTCAAAATGTAATACATTCTCCCTAATCATAGTGCTGTGGTTATGGTCTGGAGGCTGGATATGAACTGTACTACCGTAAAGGAAAATCAGTTTCCTTCTGCTCGCATACCTAAATGCATACAAACCGGGGAATATTTAGTCTGGGACAAGGTGGAGCACTCGACAGATTCTATCATTATGCCGATTCTTCAGTTTTCAGACTGAACTCCCTTGTCATAACGATGTACACTCTGTTGTTCAAACTTTGAACAGGAAAATGTAGAGTGCAGCTGTTTGGTGCTTTCCATCAATTACTCTCATCAGATGGATTACTTTTTAGATGGACCATCCAGCTTTCAGCGATAGCTAGTGAATTTGTTCTCACAACATTTTCTCTGCAGACACCATCACAGTACTCTACAATGGTGTTCTTAGTCACTGGGGTTTTTATTGCATTTTTCCATCTGTATGCTGTCCCTTAGCAACTAACAAAAATTTTGTGTTTCGCGACCCATTGAATGAGTGTTCCACATACGATTCACTTTACACAGACCTACGTGTCACTTCGTCGCATCGGCAGATTCTTACGACGCACTGAAGTCGATCCCAATTCATGTTCACATGAAGATACTCCTGGAGTTGCAGCAGTAATCGAGCGTGGTGTACTCGGTTGGGATCCCGAAGGCGAACCTATCCTACAAAAGTGGGTCCACATCACTCGTTACTCTCCTTGCTCGTTGTGTGTCTCTCCACTAGTGAAACATCCACTTGCGCTTAATTCGCCTCTACTCGTCATTTTTTATCCTGCTTCGATTAGGTTTTTCCTTATAGCAGTGGTAAACTGCCCAGTTCAAAATGTTCGCAAACCAATTGATTCATTCGTTCTAACCCAGCCAGTGCACCACTTACTTTTCTCTACCGAATAATCGTATCAGCTGACTTTTCACAGCTAAATTGCATTTGCGTGTTTGACCCTACCTATTGTAACATTTAGTCTGCGCCAAACTAATACAATCATGCATTTTGTCGAAGAAGGTCAACTTAGTGGAACTCCAGTTTCGTTGTCTGGCTTCACTAAGGAGGAGACAGGGTACACGCTGCAACAATTCATCAACATTGTCATAGCAGAAACACAAGCGGTTGACTTCCATGCAAACTTCAGGGATGCCTTAATAAAAGATAGAAAGAAGGGAAAAGGCGAGGAAATAGTTAAAAGAACCTCGTCCTTATGGAGAAATGTCCCAAACAGTTGGTCACCACCTCCAGGTAGCAATGTAATAAACATTTCTTCGGTTTATGTCGGAGTAACTCCTTCGCCGAAAAGTCCTACACAAAGCGCTATTTAAACTCTTGCTAGCAGTGTTACAGAGGGTGACATCTCCCGTGGAGATTGCAATTATATTCAAGGTGACTCCACTAGCAACAGCCAGGGGGATTCGAAGATCCTGTAGCACCCAAGCTGGCTTTAGCCGATTTCACTTCGCGTTTCTATGCTTCAGCCTATCCTCCGCGACTTTTGTCATGTTTAATGTCAGTTTTCTCGACTTTTTGTAGTTAGAACACTGTGTAAACTTGAATTCTCGTGCGAATTGCCTCATTAGGACTCTGTTTTTTCCAACTCACAGTTCCGAATTCCCTTGAGCTGCATGGTGTTATTCGAGTACTATAAAGAAGAAGAAGGACTACTTCCACGTTCCTACTTTCGCAACCACTTGCATGGATGTTATTGTATTTGCCAGCTTTCGACACGTCTGGTGCGAACATTACTTTAGTCCTTTGTTGAAGGGACGTATATGCAACACAGGTGTACGCACCGATCCATATCAGAACCCACATTAGACACAACTACCGTAAGGCAAATGAACCGGAAAATGGATAATATCGGATGCCTACGTATTCTGCTGATTTTACTGCGTCTTCTGTGGCCACCATTAGTTTTTCATTTTATTCTCTTCCATTTTCAGTATTTCTATTCAGTTCCCTGAGGGTCAGTTAACCTCCATAATGGGTAAGGTTGGATCTGGTAAATCGAGCCTACTGCAAGCTCTCCTGGGTGAAATGGAGCTCTTCAACGGCCGCGTGAACGTAAAAGTAAGTAAATAAAACATTTGGGTGAAGTAAGTTTGATCTCCATTATATAATTCACACAGAAAAATGCACCGTGTGAAGTCATTGAGCTCTGATTTCAACGTATGATGACTCATTCAAATTTTTACCATTTGGTGATATCCAACTGTTTGGTTTTCTGGAGTTTGACAACACAAAGCAACACATTTTTAATGCCTCAAGAACCATTCTTTGTGTACATATATTGTATCATGGATAAGCTACAGATTCTTCAAAAGTAATCCTAAATAAAACAATGCAGTCGCTTCGCCCTTAAGGTATACGCGGAGTTTGTGCACTTTTCAGAGCTCTTGACCGTCGCAACAGGGAGACACTCCCTGTTGTTTACCTCAACTCACTGCATAGAAAAAGAAACCTTAATTTCATATGCCTTAATCTACTTATTCACCGTCACATTCCTGATTTGGAGAGGTGTTAATATGTGAATTTATCAGCAGAACGTTGATGTCCTCAATTTTTGACCACAGGTGAAACTGTGTATGCAGTTGCCTCCAAATCATTAAGTGCTTTAAACAAGAAGGCTAAGGATTTTTCGTCTTTTCTTGTTTGGAAATAACTGACTGTATGTATGTATGTGTAATTTTTTCTGACGCTAGTTTGCGTACGTTTCACTCTATTAGGAGCAACTGCGAGTGGAAATGGATGTAGCTAGTTCCTTTTAACTCCACGCATGGAACCCTCTTGGAGATGGTCTCCAAGTGGGCCAAAACCTCACTTGTTTTCCATCTCAGCTTGCTTTGTATTGAAAACCACTGAAAACCACTATCGTTACTCTCTGGGATGACAGGCTTAGGGGAGCGAGTGGAATGATCTTTTCTGAGAGGTGACTTCTTATGAATGGTAAACAGTCGTAAAGCTAGGAAAACATCTTTCAGGAAAAAATAATTCCACTTTGCGTAGCATACTGTTATAGTTCACTTTTAAAGAGCAAGTAAAGTAAATACAAGCTATAGATGCGGAAGGGTTACAGGAGAATATTAGATAAAACGAAGGAAGCAACCCCTTCGAAGTCGTGCCACCTACAGCTCCAGCCAGTCAAGATGAATATCAGTGTAGGTAAGAATGTTTGGTATAATGAAACACGCGTGTAAAGTGCAGCAATAATGCTAAATGCCCTTCAAGATGCGATAGGCGGCAGCACACTTCAGACTCGCACATCAGGCACAAAGTATCCGTCATTGGGTCAGGTGTGAAAGCCAGTCGCAAGAGTGAACGATCAGTGCCATGTACGACGCACAAAAATGTCATAAGTACGCTGAGAGTGAGAAATGGCAAGCGAACACAAGTCACTGACCGTGACATTAGGATGTCCCAGTCGAATGCCATCCTTGACGGAAAGCAGATCCCTCAATAAGAAATGATCATTGGTTGGTGTACCAAAACGTTGACGTAAGGCTGAAATTATAGCGAGGGAAAATTCGTCAGAACCACAATTCTGCTACTTCTCACTCCACTCAGTCACTCCACGCCCATCCCAGACTACGCTTATGTCTATCACAGTTGCTCGGCGCTCCCGAACAGCGATTAGGTCATGCGTGATGAAGGACGTCAACGTAGATGCTCCCAATTCCCCGAAGATGGTGTATGCCTTTCCAAACAGGACATACGAATTCCAACTTACATCAGTTTACAGGCGATCGAATTCTTCTCTCGCATTAAGCCACTTTTGTTGGTGGTACGTTGTCTGCTTCGCCAAACTACTGATGACCTTTACCGAACACTCTCATTTGGATCGTCCGGTTTAATCTTGAACATAATGAACTGGACGGTTGAACCATATTCACCGTTGTCCATATCGCAAAGCTAAGTAGGATTGGGGCGAACTTGAAGGAGCAATCAAGAGACTCCTCTGGTTGAAGTCCACTTGGGTGATTAAATCAGCTGAACCAACTGCCGACGATGTGTTTCGTTGTTGCTAGGCCCGTGCGGACACTACGTATAATGTTACAACACCGGTGGGAAGCAGAGCGGCTTGAATTCCGTGGGTTTCACGACTCAATGAAGGATAGGCTATTGGACCTAAAACTAAATGACTTGCGTGCTGGCGACATCGAGCGATGGCCCAGCTGATGAGAGTTGATGAAATTATGAGAAACACAATCGGTTTTCCTGTCGAACGGTTGCGATTCCTGTAAGGAAATTTTTCTC